ATGAGTATGGAATAAAAGGGTATGGGATTCTTAGGTTGTAAATATTTTATGGAGTTAATGCAATTTCATTCTTGAGGTTTCTTTCTAATAATGCCCTTAATTTACATTTCTAATATATTCCTTGGTCAATTCTGTTTACATAAATTTAAGATGATCTTTTCTACTTGTAATGATAGCAGACAAAATTTACACTAACCTGAACCTAATCATTCCTACCAAGCACTTAAAAAGCAGTGTCTGTAGGGTTATACTTATTTTTAAAAGTTTATTTTTCCTTTCATTTCAAGGGCTGCTCAGTGTGTTTCCAATTGTTCTGTGTAATGGTTAATAGGGACCTACCACCTCCTCCAAAGAAAAAGGGTCAGTAATCAAATATTCTAGGAGGCACTGGCTTAGACAAAATGAAACAGATCTTCATTGCAGTCTGAAGACGGAAAGCTCCAAACACTACAACTCTTCAGGAATGGGACAGAAATCCCAGGGTTTACCAGGCTCATTTAACTTTCACAGATCATTCTGCAGGATGAGTATTCAGAGTACCACACTTTGTGAAATACTCAGTTAATTTCATGAGTAAATTACATCGGGGGATCAGGTTACTTTCATTTGGATGTACTGCCCATGATACTCTAGGAAAGTACTTTATGACTGTGCATGACTATGAGATCATTTGCGGGGATTCCTCAAATACAAACCTCCTGCCACTGTCATCCAAGCTTAAGTAATGTTCTAAACTATAGGAATCACCATTTACTCGATCATCACCAACACTGTCACTAGTATCAACTCATGATTAGCATCACTTTCATGATCAGCATCACTGGCTACCACCATGATCTTCACCACCATTATCACATTGATAGCATCCTATCATACCATTACCAACAGAACCACTGCCAACACCATCAACATGACTTATACTATCACTCTCACTACCACCAGTATCCTCCACTGCCACTCCAATAACACCATCACCACCTCTACTGTTACTATTGTCAGCATCACCACCACACTACGAGAAGCTAGTCATTACCACCATTATCTGCAGCACCACTGCAGCCATCAGCACTGCTGTCACAGAAGCCATCACTTCTGTTTCTACTGGTGCTACCATCCTTCCCATGTTAGGAAAGAAGAGCAGGTAGAAGATGGTGTCATTATTCTAGGTTGTACACAAAGACTGAAAGGTGTGTTACATAGCTTTTTGCTGCTGTGATCAAATACCTGAAAAACAACTTAGAGGAGGAAAGATCTATTTTGGCTCATGATTTCAGAATTTTTAGGACATGGTTGGCTGGCTCTAAGGCCGAAAGTTCATGGCAAAAGGGCACAGCTGAGGAAAGCTGCTTACCTCATGTTAGCCAGGAAGTAGAGAGAAAGGGAAAGAGCTAGAGAGGCAGGGGCTGGGGACCAGACATAGTCACCAAGGGTGTGTCCCCATGACCCTGTCCCTTCAACTAGGCTCCACTTTCTGTTTCCATCACATCCCAGTAATATCATCAAACATGATCTCATCAGTGTGCTAATCTTTTGATGAAGTGAGAGCCCTCATGATTCAATCACCCCCTGAAAGCCCCACTTCTGAACATGCAAGATTTTGTGATTGTGGGGTTAGATTTAAACCATAACAGAAGGTTAGATACATATTCACATATTTTCTCCTTGTTAATATGGCATCTCACTAATCATCAAGTGGAACCTGACATGGCACCAGCAGAATTCTAGGATTTAAAGGCTGGAGTACTAACAAGAACCCCATCCAAGGCAGGGGTCCCTATCTTACACCCATCACAGGAGTCAGAGCTGTCACACAGGGCTGAATGTCAGCTATACTCACGGAAATATGAATGATAGGCTTGACTGGTTGTTAGGGAGCAACCACAGCAAGGCTTATGGCCTGCATAAAATGAAGCTCGACACTCCTCTGAGGATGCAGTTTATGGGGGTCATAGCAGATAAGTTCTTAATTTACTCAACTATATGCTCTTTTTAAGTAATTAAGCTGTTTTAAAGTTATATTTTTGTATGTTTCACTATATATATTGTGCATATATAAATTATAATAATAATAACAATGGGTGGCATAGATGAGTGTTACAAAACTTCAGGAACTGGCTTTACATATACCATCTTCTTAGTCCTTACAACTTTTGTATAAAGGAACTGTGACTGTCATTCCCACTTTTCTGATGAAAAGAGAGGTTAAATAACTGCCCCAGGTCACAAAGCTAATTCACTGCAGGACTAACTTCTGAAGTCAGGTAAACTAGTTCAGGGGCTCATGACCTTAACCAAAACACCGCATTGTGAACACAATGCCTGCACTCCATCTATGCACACAGCAATATGTAAAGGCCAGCTGTACACACATCATCCTGCATGGGGAGATTTTAGGGATGCTCAAGGGTACTGCTGATTTTATGTCTTGTCTCATGTGGTGATTCTGAGCATAGCCCCAGAGGACATGTCATTCCACTGACACCTAAGGGAGAAAAGTGATGTGAAAGACCTCAAGGACAAAGCAATGTGGTGCATGGTCTGATGGTGGTGGGGTGACCACAGTCAAAGTTCTTATTAACTCATGTCAATAGCTCGTAATGAGGGGCAGTGGTATGCAGGGCACTGGATGTGGTCCCTCTTATTCCTTATCCCATAGTTTACCCTGTGTGCTGAAGCCCTGAGCAGGTCTCAAAAAAATATAACTCAGGTATGATAAGCTGCAGTTTTCCAAGCACTTGGATAGATAGCAAAAGAGACAGATCAGGGATGATTCCGAGGGCAGGGCAGAGGGGTAGCCAGGTGATCATCAATCCTTCCAGCTCACCTGTTGATTCCTTAAACATCTTGATATTAGAAGTGATCACTTTGGAGAGAAGCTGAGCCAGTCCCAGCACCCAGAAGGAAGCTCCCCCACCGCCATCCCAAGCTCCTAGGGCAGAGAAGGTGAGCTGCGAGGGTGCCACAAGCACCCCTCCCCACCACTATGGAAATGAGAAGACACATAAATAAGCCTCAAAAACAGACTTCTGGATCACCTACAGCAACCCCAAAGGGAAACAAGATGGAACAATTTGATACTCAACCACCTGGACTCTCTGAACTGGCTTACAAAAGAGGATCTGGGAAAAATGAAATCAGAAATAATTACTCAGATAACAGCAAAGATTTTGCTCATGGTGCAAGACATGATTAATAAATCTAGAGAGGACACAGATAAAAAAATAAGGATCTGAGGAACATGATGGAATCCCAGCATAGGAAACAAATGGAATCCATATAACAGATGCAAACAGATTTCCAGATTAAAAACTCCATCAAAAGTCTATGCAGCAGAATGAACCAATGTGAGGACAGAATTTCAGATATAGAAGAAAAGATTGCAATTAGTGACCAGGAAAAGAAAAATTCCTTTAAAATTGTAAAGGAGCATGAGAAATCAATCCAGCAGCTGCTAGATGATGCAAAGAAGAATAACATAAGACTGATTGGAGTCAATGAAGAAAGAGGAGAGAGTGCAGATGATACAGAAGTGATCACTTTGAAATGCACCTATTATTAACTCTTAAATATACAAATAGATGAAATATATATAGGTTACCATCTACAAATGTGGATAAATAGAATGATTTTTTAAAAAGAGATGGACTCTCCATAGTGTTAAGCTGTGCCTCATTCTAAGTGTACACGGTGGGTCCAGACCATAGTTGGGGATGCTCTGACTCTGTATCCAGAGAGGATACTGGCTGGACTTGAAGATGCTTCTCAGCTCTAAGATTCTATCACCATTACCATGCTCACCATCCTCGCCTCTTTATCAGTACCCAGGATGTGTTAGGGTCTGAGCTGGGTATTTATATGGTTTAAGTCCTTAAAAAATCCCAAGATATGTCTGCAGGAATTTCTCTCTGATTTTTTAATTGGCTTGGCCAAGGTGATCATTTGCAGGCTGGAATGGTAGCAGTGGGATTTGGAAGCAGATCCATTTGTTTGGCAGTTAAATGCTTGCTTGTTTTTGTGTTTTGTGTTTGTTTTAACTGTATCAGACACCTCTCAGATTAGATTCTTTATCTCTAAAATGGGGTCAAAGTGTCAATTTCATGGGTTTTGAAGATTATATAATAGGATATGAAATGTTTTGCAAAATATAAGAAGCTCTTTATATGTATTATTATATACTATTATTTTTGTTTTGTGTGGTTAAATTAAGTATTTTTACTATAACACATTTATTTATATAATTAGATAATAATTTCAACATAATTGGCTTCCTTTGTAATTCTACTTATTTTATTTTGACTTTTTATTTTATAATAATTTTAGATTTAAAGAAGTTACAAAGATAGTACAAAGAGTTCCCCTATACACTTGATTCAGCTTTTGAAAATGTTAATATCTTACAAAACCAAGGTACAATGATCTAAATTAAGAAACTAGACATTAACATAACATTATTCATTGATTCATTCATATTTCCCCTGCCTCACCCAATGCCCTTTTGCTGGCCTAGGGTCTAATCCAGGATCTAATTCAGGATTAACTGCATGTAGTTATCCGGTATTTTTAGTCTCCTCCAAAGAGGGAAAGCTCCTCAGTGCTTTAGGATGTGGATACTAGACCATGTTGGCCAGCTATTTTGTAGAACATTCCTCAGTTTCACTTGCTGATATTTTCTCATGATTAGACTAAGTCTTTTCCTTTTAGGCAAGAACAACTCAGAGGTGATGTGGTCTCCTTCTTGGTGTTTCATATCAAGAGGGTATGGGATGTTGATTTGTCTTGATTCTGAGGATATTAACTTTGTTCTTTTAATGATCAAGAATCAATATTTTATTGGTTAATTTTTTAATCTGCAAAGTATTATGATGTGAGTTTTATATGGTAACAATTTGATGTCTACATTATGCTAAACATCAAGCACCTGTTAGCTGAAGAGACTCAAACATTTTAATACACAAGATATTTAGACTACAGTTCCTTGGTTGTCAAAAACAGTGATTACTGGTGCCAAATAATTAAAATATTGTGCCAAGTCATCTCAGCAAAATGGGAATACTGAGTATCTACCAATTATTGTTATCTTACAGTATTAGGAATTAAAAGTCAGAAGTTAGATATTTATGTTATCTACAGTACAGTATATATTTAAGGATGGCTTTGTTTAGAAGACTTGAAAAATCCTCTTGGAATAAACACTATACTCTCAATGTTATAGGTCAATAAAACACAACTGTATCTGGTGGACACGGTAGAGAAATGGCAATTTTGACAAAGGAGTGCTTCCAAAGACATTTCCTTTAGAGGTGGCTAAGGTTTTTCCACATTACTGAAAGACTAAGTAACGTGGTGTAGCTATCTTCACCAAACTTCCACTTGGGCATATTATGGTACATGTTCCCAAACTACTATTCTTTCTGTCCACCATGCTGACCTCAATATTCCATGATCCACTGCAATCTTTTGGTCTTCCCTCTTGCAGTGTGGCAGCCTGTGCTGCTATCCATTGAGGAGGTAGACCACTAATTCATAGGTGGCCATCATAATGGCTGTGTTTGGAATCTGTCTCACCAAACGAGTTGTTAGACCACGGTAGAGCGACCCATAACCGTCTTCTTGAACCACCAAAGACAGTGTCTGAAAAAAGGATCTATATTTTGTTCCTTCTTCACATAGTCTTGTTCTTACAACTTCATGTGGATATGCTATAGTTGTGGCACAAGTTTTTGAGGTGGCAGCAGCAAACATCATTCCCACAAAGGCTGATGCTTCTTTTACAGACTCTTCACCATTTTCTGTCATAGAAGCAGTCTTACATTCCAGTAGTTTTTGCTTTATATTTTCATAAATAACAAAATGGATAACAGTCTCTGATATGCCATCATAGGAAGCAGACATGCCCCTGTAAAATCCTTTAATTCCGTCTCTTTGATACACTTTACGGATACATTCAAAAGCACCCCTTTGCTTTTCCCCACGGTTCCTTGCATCAAGCTGTAACTGAGTCTTTATAAGCCAAATGGGGTTGGTTGCAGTGATTGCAGTGAAACAAGGTTTAAATTAGTCCATATTTCTACAGGAAGTGACCTGCAGATGGGGAGCATGAGATAACACGATCTCACTCTTTTCTCGGGAGAGATGTACAGTAAATGCCTGCCACTGCAGCTGAAATCATGTGAACCTGGGTAGAATCAGGATCAAATACGCCATTCAATTTTTCCTTGCAGTTGGAGTAAGCAGCAAAGTATATTGCTCTGGAAGGGGCCACCCCCACTATATTGGGGCCTAATCCTCTAAACAAGGAACAAGGCCCTTCTTTTTCCAAGATTACTTTTAGGCAATGGAGGGGTCTAGGAGACACTACTCGGTTAACACTGGCTCCAGCCATGGTGTTCAGCTGAACTTCAGAGATATAAAGTGTCACAGAAGACGACTGCAGCTGTGTTTTTACAACTTCCAGTGGACATGTCAGAATAGCTCCCACTGTGCCACCGCATCCCCCCGCGAACAGATGCACCAGCGTGTCCCTCTGGCTCATTCTCTCTCCAGCATGTCCCCTGGGCGCTGAGGTGTGACGCGGCTGGGGCTGCCCGCTACTGCGGGCGGCTTCGGTCCCGGAAGGAGACGTACAACGCCCCGGGACGGCGAGGGGATGGCGGAGACGCGGCTGCAGAGGGCAACCCGCGCAGCCCTCCCTGCGCGTCGCCGCCGCTGCCGCTCTGAGGATATTAACTTTGATACTTGATTGAGATGGTGTCCACCAGATGTGGTTCTCCACAGCGTTGTTCCTATTTTCCCCTGTGTATTTAAACTCTAAGTATCTTATAGAAAAACACTACGAAACTAAGTAAATATCCTTCTCCCATCATACTTTTACCCACTAATTTTGGCATCCACTAATGATTCAGGTCTGCAACAATTGCTACCATGATATTTAGAAAATGATAATTTTCTATTTTCAACATTGCTTCTACGCTATTAGAATTTTACTGTAAGAAAGAACTTACATTTTCTCCTGCATTTATCTATTCATTTATTTTTATCAACATATGTGCATGAGTATAATTTTATTCAATGGAGTATGAACTAGTATCATTATTATGTTTCTTAAATTATCTCATATCTACCCAGTGGAAGTCCTTGTGGGTTACCCCTGTATCTTTCTTACATGCTCCCATCATTTATTAAGTACTTCATTGCTTTCTGGAACCACTATATGTTCAGCCTTCTCTTGTAATTTCCCTGCTCAGCCCTGGAATCAACCATTTCTCCAAGGAGCTCTGGTTTCTTTTATTGAAGAATGGCATTTAGAAGCCAAGAGCTCACTGCTATGGGGTTTTTGTGGTTTCTAAGTCTTCTTAGAGGATGGAGCTCAGAAATTTTATAAATATATATATATGTAATTATATTCACTCTACCTATCTGTCTATGTATATATCTATCTTGACATGTACCCCCAAGCCTCTCTGTATTTATTTCTATAACTATGTGTATCTATATCTGTATCTAACTACATGTTCATACTGAAGCCTCTAATTCCAGTCTATAACACCAAAGTGTTCATTCTACCCTCTCTTCCTTTCCTTATCTGTAATTCCCTTTCTCAATAGTAAGCAACACTTCCCATGTTCATAAATTGGGAGAAATTAGTATGTTAGATAGCCATACTACTGAATGATCAATAGATTCAATGTAATCCCTTACAAAATACCAATTACATTGTTCAAAAAACCAGAAAAAAATCCTAACATTCACTTAGAAGCATAAAAGACTCTGAATAGCCAAAGTAATCCCGAGCAAAGAGTAATGCTGCAGGCATTATAATATCTCACTTTAAAAGCTACTACAAAGCCATAGTTACAAAAACAGCATAGTGTTGACATAAAAACAAATACACAGGACAGAACAGAGGACTCAGGAATAAACCTACATATCTACAGCCATCTGTAAATTCTCAACAAAGGTGCCAAAAGAGATACTGGAGAAAAGACAGCCTCTTCAAGAAGTGGTGCTGTGACAAGTGGATAACTAGGTATAAAAGACTGAAATTAGATCTCTACCTCTCATCTTATACAAACATCAACTGAAAATGGATTAAAGATCTTAATGTAAGCTTGAAACTCTGAAAAGACTAGAGGAAAACATAGGGGAAATACTTCAAGATATTGGTACAGGCAATAATCTCCTGAATAGTACTCTAATAGCTCAGAAAGTAAAATCAAGAATTAACAATTGGTATACATCAAATTAAAAAGCTTTTGCATAGCAAAGGAAACAATCAACAGAGTGAAGAGACATCCTTCAGAATGGGAGAAAATCTACCAGTTATTTATCTGACAGGAATATATAAAAAACACAAAAAAAGTCAACACAAAACAAGTAACTCAATCAGTAAATGGGTAAGTGATCTGAAATGATACTTCTCAGAAGTAGAAGTACAAATGGCCAATAAATATATGAAAAAATTGCTTAACATCTTTAGCCATCAAAGAAATGTACATTAAAACTAGATAGGCATGGTGGTGCATGCCTGTCTCTGGGAGGCTCATGTAGAAAGACTGCAAGTTCAAGTTCAGCCTGGACAAATTAGTGACACAGTGAGACTGTTTCAAAATAAAAAATAAAAAAGGGCTGGGGTTGTAGCTCAGTGCAAAGGCCCTGACTTCAATCCTTAGTACCACAAGCAAACACACAAACAAAACAAAAATTCACATACAGATTCCATCTCATCCCAATCAGAATGGGTATTATAAAAAAAATGATGGCAAGGATATGGAGAAAAAGGAACCCTTACATACTGTTCGTGGGAATATAGATGAGGACAGCTGCTATGGAAAACATATAGTAGTTCTTTAAAAAACTAAAAGTAGATCTATCATATACCCCTCTGGTTATGGGCCTGAATGAAATGAAGTAAGCATAGTATAGAGATACCTGCATACCCACCTTTATTTGCAGCACTAATCATAGTAGCCAAGATATGCAATCAGCCTAGATCAGATGAATGGATAAAGAAAATGTGGCATATATATACAATGAAGTAATTTTCAACCATAATGAATGAAATTATGACATTTATAGGAAAACGGATAGAACAGGAGGTTATCATGAAAAGTGAAATTAGTCAGACACAGAGAGACAAGAATCACAAATTTTTTCTCATATGTAGAAAATAAATAAATAAATAAAAATTTAAAAAGGTGACCTGAAAACTGAAGGCAGACTAACAGTGAAGAGGGAGAAGGGGTGTGGGAGGGAAAGAGAAGGAAGGGCAGGAAAGGATGGTAGTGAGGGTGAATAGGATCAAAGCATGATATGTCACAGTGAAACTCATTAATTTGTATAATTAATATGAGTTAATAATTCTTAAAAATTACAGACAGGGTACATTGGCACATGCCTGTAATCCCAGCTACTTGGGAGGCTGAGGCAGGAGGACTGTGAGTTCAAGGCCAGCCTGAGTAAATTAGTGAGATGCCATCCCCCCCCACAAAAAGGTAAGAAACCTGAGATTATACATTAATTTGCTTGTTCCTAGTATTTCTATAAAGTAGTTCCTAAACTGTTCACTCATTCTCCTGTAGAAAACACACAAACTAACTAGAAGTCATAAGTCTTGCAGTATCCGGTTACGATGCTGCTTTTGTTGCTGAGTTAATTCTTTCCTTTCCTACTGCATTCAGGGTGACTGCATATTCGTTTGTAATAGAGTTAGGCTCATTTGCCACTGTTTGTATTTCATCTTGGGTTGCCCTCATATCTTAGTAGGTTTTAATTATATACAGTATTTCATTTTTCTGGTATGTGATTCCATAGCAGAACTATAAAAAGAGATCCACTCAGAGAAGGGTCTCTTTCACTCATCCTGGCTCCTTTTCTTTTCCCACTTCCCTTTTCTTTCCACTCATTCCCCCACACCCCTGTAAGTAACCAATCTCATTAGTTTATGAAATCTATTTGTAAATGATTTTGTCCTTATAAATTTCTTTTCCCTATAATTTTCAGTAACTCATAAATTTCCCCAAGGTCTAACTCTGTTTGACAACCTCATCTTTAGGAATATTTATACAGACACATCTATTCAATTCATTTTAATTAATGCCCTTTGTGCTGTTGGGAATTCTCCTTCACCGACTGTCTTATCTGATGTCAGCCTGGGTTTTCTGAATGCTCTTTGCATGGATTCTCTTTATGGTCTGCTTAGCAACCAAGCCAGATGCTGGTCTCTGCTCTGAACGATTGTCGCTTCCCATTTGGAAGGTGGAGATGGTTACCAGTGCTGGCATCTCAACCCTGATGCTCTCTCCTCAGGGAGCTGAGAGTTTGAGCTGAGTGGCTGGTGCAGCAGCAGCCAAAGGGGACAGTGAGGGCAGTGTCTGCTCAGGAAAAGGATGACAAGACCACTGACTCTGAATGGTCAGAGGCTGAGTACTTTGCCAAACATTTGTGGAATGTCACCTCCTGACCTTGCCTTCCTTATTCATGTAGAATGGGGACACTGACATTTACCTACCAGGAGTACTTCAGAGGAAGAGGTCCTCTGAAGGACAGTGTCACTTTCTCCCTTCACCCTTTTTGAAATAACTGTGGACTTACACATAGAAGAAATAATACAGAATGATACCCTTCACCTAGTTGCTCCCATTTTGCAGTATCGTACTATAATATCACAATCAGGATACTGAGATCAATATAACCCACAACTAGGATACTAAGATTGACATAATCCACAAGCAGGATACTGGGATTGATATAATCTACTTTTTTTTTTTTTTAAGACAGGGTCTTGCTACGTAGTTCAGGCTGGCCTTGAACTCACTGTGTAGCCCAGGCTGGCCTCAAACTCATGATGATCCTTCTGCCGCAGCCTCTTGAGTGCTGCTGACATTACAGGTATGTGACACCATGCCTGGCTGATATAATCCACTTTTAAGAATTTTACTCAGATTTGATCAGCTTTTTATGCACTCATTTGTGTGAGTACAGGGTGTGTGCATTAGTTCTATAAAATTTCATGACATCTGTAGTGTTCATGTCACCACCACAGTCAAGACAAGAGCAATTCCATCATTACATGGAACTTCTGCAGGGCTCTATCACATCTATACCTGCTTCCCTTCTGCCCCCAAGCTCTCTTCCCTAACCACTGGCAATCACCAAATCTGTCCTTTACTTATGTAATTTTGTCACTTCAAAAATTTTATGTAAATGGAATCACATAACAGGTCACGTTTTAGGATTGCCATTTGTGACTCAGTATTATCCCCTGGAGACTCACCAAGCTGCTGCAGGAGTGGTTTGTTTCTTTTTATTGCTGAGGTTTATTCTATGCTATTCAAGGATATTTGAGTGGCTTCTGGTTTTGAGCTGTCATGAATAAAGCTATAGTAAACATTTGTGTCCTGTTTTTGTGTGAACATGTTTCCATTTCTCTGAGATAAGTGCCCAAGAGTGCAATTGCTGAGTTACTTGGCAATTGCATGTTCAGTTCTATAAGAAGCTGCCAAACTGCTTTCCAGACTAGTTGTGGCTTTACAC